TGTGTGTGTGTCTGTGTGTGTGTCTGTGTGTGTGTCTGTGTGTGTGTCTGTGTGTGTGTCTGTGTGTGTGTCTGTGTGTGTGTCTGTGTCTGTGTCTGTGTCTGTGTGTGTGTGTGTGTGAAAGACAGAGAGAGAAAGAAAGTCACAGGTTTTCTCCTGCAGTGAGTTACTACAGTAAAGCGCTCCGTGTGTGTCTGTCTGTGTGTGTGTGTGTTTGTGTGTGTGTGTGTGTGTGTGTGTGTGTGTGTGACAGACAGAGAGAGAAAGAAAGTCACAGGTTTTCTCCTGCAGTGAGTTACTACAGTAAAGCGCTCAACTGAAGCAGATATTCACCCAACTTCAGCCTACATGTCACATTTGCATTGTTAGAAAACTTTACAGCGAAAGAAGGGAAGATAGTGAAATTAACCTCAATTTTAAAATCCTTTTCAGCCTGTCCAGTGTGTTCAATCTTCATTGATTGTGGTCTGCTGGTTGACATTTATTGTTAGATTGTGTATATTTGTATTGTGTTGTTCAGACTGCATGTACAGTATATATAAATGTTTGAATGTTTATCTTTACTGTCGTTTAAAGCGTGTGTCTTGTAATTGCAGTGTGCATTGTTTATTTCAGGGTAAATTTAGCATCCGGGATTGATTTAGGAGTTAATTACAGCTTAAGCTCAGGGTGTTGATCACCGCAGAATATATTTTCAGTTTGAAAACATGAGTGAAAAACATTTTGTCCCACCTCTAAAGGATGCTTTAGACATATTTGCAGCTCAAATGCAAGCTTGAAGACGACATAGAAGTGTTTTAACAGAAATGCATTTTAAACATGTTATGTTTATGCAATAATAATTATTATAAATGATTAACTTTTATAGTTATATATACGTTTGACTCACAAATAGCAATTTCTACCTAATCAATTATTGAAGTGCTTGACATAACTAGAAAAAAAATATGCATAATAAAAATGTCAATGACTTGAAATTTATATTAATTTTCCAGGTCTAAAAATCACACTTTTAAAATTGCCTTATTTATACAGGTTTAACAAGACTGAACAAATTGAAATAAGATGTTAAAATGTGATATCAGCTTGCATCTTGATTTATGGCTGTTTTTGATTTTTTTTTTTTACTTTTGTCGTCTTTTTCAGTTCATTTTAAGCCATATTGCAACCCCTGGTTGAGAACCACTGCTCTAGAATGATTGCATGCTGGACTGTGCATATCATTTTGCTTTTCAACAAACCAGTGGACAGTGTAAAATTATTCTCTGTGGTAATTAACCTGAAATCATATTATAACTTTAGCTTAACTTCTAATTTTGGGAGTCTATGCTGAGGTGCTAAAACACAAGGTTTGGTGAACTTTTCCACATGCACGTTCACCAAACTGTTCAAAACAAGTTTCTGATCACCAAATTGGCATCACTGACATGTAAGCGTGGATGGTCATGTGCTGATGCATCTGTGTGACATCTAGGGATGGGTCAGGATGATTCATTTGTCATGGCTCAGAAAAACATCAGGCAATAATGACTAGTTGCTGACATTACAAACTATCTGTTTATGGAGTTTTAAGCTCTAAAAGTTATTTATTTTACTCATATCAAGAAAATAATGACTCCTCATAATATGACTGAGTGTGTCTTGACTTGAATGAACAGCAGATGGCGTGCAGCACTGTCTCTCCTGACCTGAGGAATCAGCCACTGACGCTGAATGATGTGTGTTTGTTCTGTAGATGAGGGCAGTAAGGTGTGTGACGGCGGTGTCGGCGGTTGCGGAGGGGATACGCTGTATCTTTACGAGGGTCAGGACTGGGTCATCTCCCCCTCCTGCTCTCCAGAGGAACCCAGTGCCATCTCACCCATGCTGGCCGAGGAAACCTTCCGCTACATGAGTAAGTGTGTGTGTAGCCATACACGTGTACACAAATGTTTGCTTGCTATTGCCATTGTTGGGGAATCTACTTTAAAACGGTAACTTCCCGAAATACAAGCTACTCATAATTCAAAGAGTTAAACTACAGTCAGGTTGCAGTTGACTTTAGCTTGAGTTTTTTTTGTAATTAGTATCTAATAGGCAGGGTTCCCTTGGTCATTTAAACTCTGAAAATATCAAGGGTTTTTAAAACTATTATTTAAAAAAACTAAAATTTTACATTAACGAGTTATGGACATTTCTTTGGAAAATGTTCTAATTATCTAGTTGCAAAATGCTCGTTGTTACTCCCATCTCAGTCAAATTATTTTTAAAAATCCTTATTGTTTCACCAGAGGATTTATGATATTAACAGTTTTTTAAATCATATTTTGGAAATGTATGCATTGATGAATCATTCCTATTACGATCAATGACATGCATTTACAAAACACATTTACATTTCATGCCAACTTTGAACTTGAACAGGTAAATTAAAAAAAGTAATAAAAAAATAAATAATTTATTCTGTGTAATTAAAAAAAATAATTAATAAAAAATGTAATTATAGTACTGTTTGTATTTTCCAGGGTGCATAAAAATAGTAATAGATGAATAAATAATGTATGTTTGTTATAGGTTAATTTACATACCGTCAGAATGAACAGATTCATTCAAATCAATCAAACTTTCCAATGTTACATAAGGGAGAGAGGGAATTTTTGGACAGCATGTTTGTTTTTAACCTCAGTTTGCGCCGCAGTAGAGCTGCGTGTGTAGTACAGTGTGACAAAAATATATTAACTATAATTATTTTGTATCATTAGAATACAAAATAATTTTGTTTCAAGACACTGCTAGTAGCTAGTAGCATTGCTGATGTTGCCCTACACTGGTGTGCGTATGCTTGAGGGTGTGTGTGTGCCCATCCTTGGCAAGGGCACAGGAATTCAGTGGTCAGGTCTCTTAAGTGCAGCTGACAGCAGAGCCGGCCGGGCGTCACGGGGCGGGAGGGAGAGGGACAGATGGATGTATAGAAAGAGGAGAGAAGAGAAGAGCAGTCATGCCGGTGCTAAACATACAGAATGAGGAGCTTTATGACCAATACGCTGCAGAAGGTGAGACCATGTTGAGATTCGTACATGCACTGAGCATTAGGATGTGTGTGTGAGCGTGTTGTTTTATTTGTAAGTATCTGTGCGGCTTGCAAACACTACAGGACTTCTGACAATGCAAGGTCATCTGTAACGGACAGGGAGGGCACGTGTGTGAATGCAGTATGTATTGTTGAGCGTTTCCTTTGAGTTGTTGTGGCAGTTTTGTTGACTGTAGATGAGGGCAGTAAGGTGTGTGACGGGGCTGTCAGCGGCTGCGGAGGGGATTCGCTGTATCTTTACGAGGGTCAGGACTGGGTCATCTCCCCCTCCTGCTCTCCAGAGGAACCCAGTGCCATCTCACCCATGCTGGCCGAGGAAACCTTCCGCTACATGAGTAAGTGTGTGTGTAGCCATACACGTGTACACAAATGTTTGCTTGCTATTGCCATTGTTGGGGAATCTACTTTAAAACGGTAACTTCCCGAAATACAAGCTACTCATAATTCAAAGAGTTAAAACTACAGTCAGGTTGCAGTTGACTTTAGCTTGAGTTTTTTTGTAATTAGTATCTAATAGGCAGGGTTCCCTTGGTCATTTAAACTCTGAAAATATCAAGGGTTTTTAAAACTATTATTTAAAAAACTAAAATTTTACATTAACGAGTTATGGACATTTCTTTGGAAAATGTTCTAATTATCTAGTTGCAAAATGCTCGTTGTTACTCCCATCTCAGTCAAATTATTTTTAAAAATCCTTATTGTTTCACCAGAGGATTTATGATATTAACAGTTTTTTAAATCATATTTTGGAAATGTATGCATTGATGAATCATTCCTATTACGATCAATGACATGCATTTACAAAACACATTTACATTTCATGCCAACTTTGAACTTGAACAGGTAAATTAAAAAAAGTAATAAAAAAAAATAATAATTTATTCTGTGTAATTAAAAAAAATAATTAATAAAAAATGTAATTATAGTACTGTTTGTATTTTCCAGGGTGCATAAAAATAGTAATAGATGAATAAATAATGTATGTTTGTTATAGGTTAATTTACATACCGTCAGAATGAACAGATTCATTCAAATCAATCAAACTTTCCAATGTTACATAAGGGAGAGAGGGAATTTTTGGACAGCATGTTTGTTTTTAACCTCAGTTTGCGCCGCAGTAGAGCTGCGTGTGTAGTACAGTGTGACAAAAATATATTAACTATAATTATTTTGTATCATTAGAATACAAAATAATTTTGTTTCAAGACACTGCTAGTAGCTAGTAGCATTGCTGATGTTGCCCTACACTGGTGTGCGTATGCTTGAGGGTGTGTGTGTGCCCATCCTTGGCAAGGGCACAGGAATTCAGTGGTCAGGTCTCTTAAGTGCAGCTGACAGCAGAGCCGGCCGGGCGTCACGGGGCGGGAGGGAGAGGGACAGATGGATGTATAGAAAGAGGAGAGAAGAGAAGAGCAGTCATGCCGGTGCTAAACATACAGAATGAGGAGCTTTATGACCAATACGCTGCAGAAGGTGAGACCATGTTGAGATTCGTACATGCACTGAGCATTAGGATGTGTGTGTGAGCGTGTTGTTTTATTTGTAAGTATCTGTGCGGCTTGCAAACACTACAGGACTTCTGACAATGCAAGGTCATCTGTAACGGACAGGGAGGGCACGTGTGTGAATGCAGTATGTATTGTTGAGCGTTTCCTTTGAGTTGTTGTGGCAGTTTTGTTGAGGGTGTGCTGCTCATTTCTGCAGTGAACAAGGCTCAAGTGAACAGGTGGAGGCTCGTGTTTCTCTGCGTCTCTGAGATCAAGCACTTGTTCTGAGGTCACCTGTGACGGCTCTTGTTGTGCTGATGTCGTCTTTAAGAGTGTGTCAGTGCTGACCAACATGGCATATGTCATGTGCCTAGCAGGATAATCACTGGTCCATACTACATACTATAGCAGCTCCGTTTCAAAACCTAGTGAGCTGCCTACTGCCCACATGAAGCCTCATAAGTAGCCGACAATGAAAATGCATGGGAGACTCAACTTACAGTTGATTTACATAGTTACAAGTAACATTTGCAATGCTTAATGTTTTACCCTATTTTGTACATGATGTTTATTTGCACACAGCTTACATAAATGCATTCATATATACATTTCATGGCCTTTAAATTGCATATTGTTTAGAGGACAACACTGGGCAGGATGTGGAATAACTATTTAGTAAATAATTGATTAATTTGTTTTTTCATTAAATTACTATTTTTAATAATCATATTCAAATATAATAATCCATACTTATTATGACTATAATACAATTTTTTACAAAAACTTTAAGTCAAAATTATTTGTATGGTGCTTTTCACTATACACATTGTTTAAAAACCGTTTTACTCAATGATGTTAATATTAATAAGGTCTTCATATCATCATGCAATGCCGTCACATTTCGCAGATTACAGCTGGATGATAGTATAGTTTATAATTTGCAATGATACAAGCAATCAAGCAGTTAAAATTGCTTTATATAGTCCTGCTTTGCTTTATATTTATATATTGCTTTATATAGGTATTCCTAAATGCAAATAAACGTTTCATACCCTTCATAATTTAATTAAATATGCATTTATTTTTTTTAATCAACATTCAACATTGTCTGCCATCTTTGACCTTTTTTTTACTGAACGTGTTGCAGTGAATATCTTCTCCATAAATGATACATGCAATGTCAAATAAACACATCTGAATTTGGCTGAAGCAGCCTTCTTGACGAGAGACACCTCGTCAGTGGGTTCACAACCAGAGACATGCTGAGACTTTTTGCCCTAGTTTTACCCAGTTGGATGATGATGTGTTGCTAAAAATAACCTGAGAGGCATAGAGGGGGCAGATGGAGGCTATTTCAGGGTTATAATCGGAGAGCTGAACATGAGAGGACATGAACAAGAGCACAATGTCATAATATATAGAGAGAGAGGCATAATAGAAGATCCCCAGTACACAATTTACCATCTTATTAATGCATAATGCAAATTCAACATATTTCATAAGAACTAACATTTTCTGTAGTGTTTGTAGTGAGATCATTGTAAAACCTTAGATGGCTCCTCATTAATTCATGCAAGTCTAGCCATTTTCACAAAAATGCCATAACCATTACAGTACATTTTTGTATGTGAACTCAGTTAATAGTCAGTTATTTAGTGTTTTATATTCAATTAAATATAATCTAATTAATTATACTTAAAGTCAAACTGGATCAGATTAGTTGCATTTATCAGATTAGAAGCAGATCAGTTAAATATATTAATTTAGAGTTTTCTATGCAATTACAGCTAATCTAATTAAATCGATTTTGTCAAATCAGATTATTTTTTATATCTGTAATAGGTAGTGTTATTTTACTATCATTTATACAGTCTTTATTCATATTTTAAATTGCGCTATAATTTCAGTTTTCAGATTTTTTTATATATCTTTTATTTTTTAAATTTTTTTAAATATTTTAAAAAATATTGCCTTTCCAATAACTGCATTACATAAGTTAAAATTTTCCAATATTTGTATTTTATTTCTGTTTGCAAATATGATCTTTAATAGTTTTAATTGTATTTTAGTTAACAATAACAGCACTGGAAGTAGGATGGCAGGTCACTCAAACATCCCTGCTGCAGTGTTATTGTGTTCTGTCATTGTTAATTATGCAAAATCCCAGGTCTCTCATTTTGTCTGTTTTAGACATTTGCAGCAAACTGTTTTGCAAGGGCCACTGTGATATCAGCTGGTGTCAGTTCACTTCTGATGTTTTACTGGAGCTCAAAGGTCTTTGCATATCTGTGATTATGAATGCGTCACTTATTGCTGAGGTTTCTTCATGACACTGTTAGTTAATATATGGACGTCTGATCTAGATCGAGGACAGCAGAGGCATGAGTGTTTTTGAGGCTTGTGCTTTCTGTGGTAATGAAGGTTCAGTCGCTGTGTTTTTGGGTCTGGATAGAGGAATGTGTTAATGTCAGAGACAGAGTGCTGTGATTGTCAGGATGCTTCAGTTGAGTGAAGAACTCCCAGCTCACCATCTCTCCTCAGGTAAGTGTGTGTGTGTAAACCTAATGCGACTGCATTTATTTTAATCCAGGAGTGATCACGGGACAGTGACTGCTGTCAGGTGCTTCATTACTCCTCTCTTATCTCTCTCTCTCTCTCTCTGTGCTGGTGATGGTGTTTTTCATTTTCTCCCTTCACTTGATGTTTACCACAATTCCTCAGCATCTATTATTTCTCTCTCTCTTCCTTCTCTCCTTCTGTCCTCTCTCTCATTCCCTCTGCAGCATTTCTAGCTGTTGGTTCCTCTTATCCCCATAATGGCTCTAACAGCCTCTCTAAAGGTAACACGCGGTCTGTCTGATGCTCTGTCTATTTTCCACTCATCTGTCTTACAGTACGCCTGTCCTTCTTAGTTTCTGCTGCTATTTTTGAGCTAGTATTTGACCTCAGGCAAACAGCATGTCTAGTCTGGTGTGTTAACTGTGCTGCAGTGTCCTACAGCGACCTGAAACTCACATTAAAGGGGTCATATCATGGAAAGCAGCATTTAATAAGAGTTATATACAATGAAGAACTTGAAACGACATGAACTGCAAGCATATTAACATAAGACCGCCCACATTAAGACTTGTCATTGTTACTAATTTCACATGCGAAGAGGTTAGCCAAACATAACAGGTCTCATTTGCATGAAGCCTTAAGGTTCAGTAGCCAAATCGTGCTATATAGTTATGTATGTTGCGGCAAGCAATTTATCTGTCCATGCAGAATGAGAAAACTGCTGCTTGGTGCGACGACAGAATCAAGTAGTGGGCGATATGTCTTACTGATTTTGCATGTGTTTGGGATGACTAGGATTTATTGCTTGTCAGGGTTTTCATAAAAATGAAACCGTAAACTTCTGTAGAATTATATAAATGAGACGCTGGAAAATAACTTGTGGTGCCTTCTTGACAAGAATTATAAAAAAATGACCTGGAAAATATGACCTCTTTAAAGTTGTAGTGTTTATGTGCAGTAGAGAGCCGTCGGTAGTGTAGAGGAAACTGACTTTAGATTTAGATCCATGTACATTATCATTAAATAGTTTGGGATCAGTAAGAGGTTTTTTATGTTTTAAAATAAGACAGAGGCTGCATTAATTTGATCAAAAATACAGTAATATTGTGAAATATTATTACAGTTTAAATTAACTGTTTTCTATTTGAATATATTTATTCATTATTAAATGTATTCCTGTGAGTCAAAGCTGAATTTTCAGCATCATTCCTCCAGTTTTCAGTGTCACATGATCTTCAGAAATCATTCTAATATGCTGATTTGCTGCTCAAGAAAGAATTTATGTGAAAACTGTGATACAAATTTTTTTCAGGATTCTCTGATGAACAGAAAGTTCAAAAGAACAGAATTTATTTGAAATTATAGATGAGATTTCTGTCACTTTCGATCAATTAAATGCAGGCTTGCTGAATAAAAGTATTAATAAATAAATAAATAAAAAAATAAAAAAAATCTTTTGACCCCAAACTTTTGAACAGTAGTTTATGTAGTGCATGCAATTAATAGTGCCGCTGAATACATGTGTTTTTGAATGCACTGTGGGTTTGTGCATGATATTATTGCAATGTTAGGAAGTGTGTGTGTGTGTGTATTGCATGTGTAGGGCTTGCCATATGGCATGTGGGTGTTTTTACACCTTCCTGTTTTGGTTTGTCTCACTGAATATGCACCACTAGTGTAGTTGCGAGTTATTTATTAAATTTTTTTTAAAGCATTCACATTTTTACTTTTCCCATTTATATTGTCTGCCTCTCTCACCATAGTCCTCAGCGCTGACCGGGTGGAGCAGATGACCAAGACCTACAATGACATTGACGTGGTCACGCACCTCCTGGCTGAAGTGAGTGATTGGTCAGCAAACTGTGAGAAAGTGCTTTGTCTAGTTTGTTTTTGTTAGTAACAGCTCTTGATTGGCTGTCTGTCTGCATTACGATGTCGTCCCACAGAGGGACCGTGACCTGGAATTGGCCGCTCGGATCGGTCAGTCTCTCCTGCAGAGGAACCACGTGCTGCAGGAGCGAAACGACTCTCTGGAGGAGCAGCTAGCGCAGGCCGTAGACCAGGTACAACACGCTTTGACATGAAAAATTAGAGGGTAAATGTGTATAAGCTGGTTCCAAAGTCTTCTAATCGCTCTATCAGGTTCATCAGCTACAGCATGAGTTGGCGAAGAAGGATGAACTCCTCCGTATGGTCGCGAGTGTCAGCGAGGAGAGCGAGACCGACTCCAGCTGCTCCACGCCGCTACGTCACCCCACACCCACAGGGGCCGCTCTCGCCCTCAGCCAGCTGGGGGCCCTCCAGTCCAAACTCCAGGAGCTGGAGGAGGAGAACCTGTCCCTGAGATCAGAGGTGCGTCATGGGCTCTGGATGATGTTTCTGGAGCGTAAGGGTTTGATAAAAGCATGACCTCTGATGTTCTACAGGCCTGTCACCTGAAGAAGGAGACCATCACTTATGAGGAGAAAGAACAGCAGCTGGTGAACGACTGCGTTAAAGAGCTACGTGAGTATCTGCGTCGACTTTCAAGCTCCAAATCAAGTTAAACCTAGTCTGTATACTGTCTACATGGGTGTCTGCCTTTGAAAGCAGCATCATAAACCAAATAAACCCTCATTAACTTTGTCCTTCACAAATGTACTGTAATGGACCCTTTTTGTCTGTCAGTACATTCTGTGATTCCATGAAAAATGCATGTAACTGCTTTTGATTTTGGCCAATGTGCAATTTTGGAAACGCCTTTAAGCTCGAAGAACGCCTGTGATGCCTAAAAATGTTGGCTGGGTGGCTCTTTAGGGTTTAAAACAGAGCCTCAGGAAAAACACATCAGCTGTGGTTATATGCAACTAAATAATCAGATTGATGGCTCAGTCGGAATGGAAAGCTTTCGTGTGAACACTGCAGTCGATCCAATTTACCACAGTGCCACAATGTGGATGTTTACATAGGTTTTAAGTCTTATGAACATGGGTGTGTTTATTTGTCTTACATATTACAAACTGGTCCATGGAGGAGACTTAACAATTACTAAATATTTGTTAAAAAAGTTTTTCTGACAAATGACAGTTCTAAAGACCGTTCTAGTCACAGTAGCTCTCTCATTATCCGGTTCTGAATGTGACATCTGGCCTCTGCATGTTATGCACATGTAAACGGTTATGTGAATCAATTGCTTTAGGGTTCATGTAAACAGAACCTTGAGAATGTGAAACCGGATTGGATTCATTCAGATTGACGTGCTTTTGAATTCACTGACTGAATGTGATGTAGGTTTCTCTTTGTTTGTTTAACAGGAGAGTCAAACAGTCAGATGGTGTCACTGACGGACGAGCTCTCCCAGAAGAACGAGGAGTTAATAAGACATCAGGAGGAGATCGCACAACTCCTCTCACAGATCGTTGAGCTCCAGCAAAGAGTCAAAGAGGTCAGGATACATGCCAGATTTAATACTTTTATTCAGTACATATGCATTAAATTGATCAAAAGTGATCATAATGTTGAAAAAGATTTCTATTTCAAATTCTTTTGAACTTTCTATTCATCAAAGAATCCTAAAATATGGTTTGCACAAAAATATGTTTCTTGAGCAGTATCAGGCCGATACCGATAACAGAAAAAATTAGCATTTATCGGCCGATACCGATATGGTGGCCAATATATCGGGCATCCCTAATTAGAATGATTTCTGAAGGATCGTGTGACACTGAAGACTGGAGAAAGTATGCTGAAAATTCAGCTTTGATCATTGGAATAAATTACATTTTAAAATATATTCAAATAGAACGCAGATATTTCAAATTGTCTTAATATTTCACAATATTATTGTTGTTTGATCAAGTAAATACAACCTTGCTGAGCCTGAAAGTACTGAATGGTACTGTATGTTGATGTATAATCATATATATGTCTGTGTTTGTTTCTCAGTTGGCACTAGAGAAAGAAGAGCTGAGAATTCACCTTCAAGCCTCAAAGGAAGCACAGCGGCAGCTCACAGCAGAGGTAAAACTCCACAGACTGTACATACTGCAGCTCAAACAGCTCTGGATTAAGACTGATCATTCTGATTATAAACAGCCCTGTTTTACTCAAATAGAGTGTTGGGTTAATCCGCTTGATTTAAGGTCTTAAAGCATTTTAAACATCAATTATAAAGTTCTAAGACAAAGCAGCTTAGTCACTGTGACTTAGAAAAGGCTGTAAACTCATGTAACTTCATTCATGTGGTGTGTCCATCTTATCATTGCACTTCTGCTGAACTTATGAAATGTGTCCATAAAGGCTGGAGTGTTTTAACGCGTTACAGGACAGAGTTGGTTAATAAATGCTGTGACCATAGTGACCTGGAAGTGTTGTGGTGATTGTGTCTGTAATCTCATGTATATCAGGATATTGAACTCTCTCTGCTGGCACGATAACACATTTTTTGGGACAATAGATTGTCCCAGAAGTAAGACCTTTTTATGAAATGCATGTAAACGCAATGAAAAAAAAAACCAGATCAAGGTCATTCATCTTGTACAATAAGTTGATAAAGTAATACAGGCCTGCTCTGCTGTACTATGACACACACCAGCAGCCTGTGGAATATAAACTTCTGTGTGTGTCTTAGCTGAAGGAGCTGTCAGACAGGAACGCAGAGTGTGTGGGAATGTTACACGAGTCTCAGGAGGAGATTAAGGAGCTGCGCAGTAAGAGCACGCCGTCTGCAGGCCTGCGCAGACACCTGTCGTATGGACTCTACCCTATGGTGAGAAACCTCCATCTCTCTCATACACATCTGTTTGTTAAAATGATATTTTGATCTGTTCTTAATACAAGCCATTTCAGTAATCTGCACATGCAATGCATTATTAGATATTGTTAATGCATTATTATTCACGTTGCAATCTAATATATATTTTCATAAATAATTTTAAGCATTATACTTTTATAATAGTGCATGGAATTTGGTGCCGATCATGTGTTTTAATGGGTGGGTATTGCAATTCGGGCTATAATTAGGCATGTAAAAGTAAATATGAGAAAAAGAATGGATGTATGTATATGTATGTAGTGGTTACAATTATTTGCAAAAACATACAATGCATTATATATAGTATAGACACATATATATATATATATAATATAGTATATAGACATGAAGCTGCTCCCACAACTCCCCAGCATTTATGGCAGCAAGTTTTGCATTGGAAAGCACTCACCAATTTTATTACAATTTTGTTGTTGTCGTTTGGTTTATTTCATTTCACTTATTCATTCGGTTTCATTGTTTATATCTTTTTTTTTTATTTCATTTCATTTTTGTTTTCATTTCATTTTTAGTTTTTAGTGTAACTGAATTTTATTGTTTGTTTTTTTTTTGCTTTGTTTTGTTGTTTAATTCTTTTTTTCTATTTCATTTTTAGTTTTTTGTCTTTTATTTCATTTCATTTTGTTTTATTTTTATTTTATTTATTTTTAATTACTTCTTATTTGGCTTTTGTTTTGACAAGGTTTTTAAATTTTTTTAAATAACACACTTATTCATGCATGCACCAGTCTCTGTCTCTCTGCTCTCTGGGTTTACAGGTATATAAGCATTGCTCATTTTTTTTATGTCCTTCAGGATTCTTTGGCAGCTGAGATTGAAGGTACTATGAGAAGAGAGCTGAGTGTAGAAGAGGAAATCGCCTTCGAGGACCAGAGGTGATGCTCACTATTCTCCCTCACGCACGTTACGTTTATAATAGTCGTTTTTCCTTCAGCAGTACTAACCTTTGACCCCTGTCTGCTCCTTCTGAAGGTCGACCCACAAGCGTGTGTTCCAGACGGTGCGATCTGTCAATCAGTCGGTGATGAGAGCGGTTGCCGCAGTGCCTCCGATCCCTGGCTCCGCCCGCAGCGGCGTGGTCATGACCCCAGTGCCCTATCAATCACACACACCCAACACAGAGGAACGAGCTGGAGACGTGGACACCACCAAGTGAGTGTGATTGCACAATGTGGTTATACCCACAATGCTTTTGTGTGTTTCCAACACGCATCTTGTGTGTGCTGCAGAGAGAACTCTCGTCTGGGTCAGCCCGGCTCTCCCGGAGGAAACGACCTCACATCAGCCCTAAACCGCCTCTCCCTGCGGAGGCAGAACTTCCTGTGCGAGCGACAGTTCTTCCAGGCCGAGAGAGAGCGGAAGCTGCAGGAGCTGGCGGCTGCGGAGTCAGAAGGGGGCGGGAGCGGCTGCAGTTCACCAATGGGAAGCACCGTCTCGTCTTTCTCCAACCTATCAGAATTCTCCATCTCCTCCAGCTGTTTCAAGACATTTCTCCCTGAAAAACTGCAGATTGTTAAACCATTGGAAGGTGAGTAGAAAGTTTTTCTGAAATTGCAAATTTTAAACAGATAACCTAGTCACTGTATGGACTGAGCATTTGGATAAATTTCTCATTTTATGTTACGTTTAATTTTCTCTGGTTATAAAGCTTTCACAAGGTATAAATTGATAAATAAATGTATTTTGTATTTTTATTTTTTTATATATATTGTTATCATAAATTTTATTTCATTAATCAGTTAATGTATTGAGCTTAACAACTTACATTTTATTTATATTTTAAGCATTTATTAATCTAGAAAAAATGTGTACATATATTATTGTTCATGTTTGTTCATAATAGATTTAGATGTTTATTTAATTCATACAACTTAAAACTGTTAAAAATGTATTCGTATTAGGGCTGTCAGTCGATTAACATTTTTAATCTAATTAATTACAGGGTGCTGCGATTTAATTAATCGCAAACTAAATTTGGCTGTGAAAACACGAAAGATAATTTAAAGCTATTATTGTGTTAAATGTTTAGGCTACAATGGCCTAACACAAAGTATAGATCATAAAAGAAAATAATTCGAGAAACATCTCAGTATTTTTTGTTCATGCAATGAAAGTCACTAGTGACCAAAACAGCTTAGTTACCAACGGTATTCAAAATACCTTCTTTTATGTTGTGCAAAAGAAAGTTAAGTCATTCAGGTCGAATGGTTGATTAATTCAGGAATCCAGTAAATGGCTCTCTCTATGAATGGGCTACTGAATCATTGGTTCACACAATTCCAGTGCGTTAACTGCGTTAAAATATTTAAATCGTAAAATACAGTAAAAATAGTCATATTGTGAAATAGCTGTTTTCTATGTGAATATATTTTAAAACGTAATTTATTCCTGCGATCAAAGCTGAATTTTCAGCATCATTACTCCAGTCTTCAGTGTCACACGATCCTCCAGAAATCATTCTAATATGCTGATTTGCTGCTCAAGAAACTTTTTAAAATTATTATTAAGAATTTTCTTATCATCAATGACCCCATACATTTGAACAGTAGTGTGTGTTTATAGAAATAAGCTTTTAACATGGATGAATAAATTCAGTTGCAGTATTGATCATTGTTTGTTGATGATGCCTGAAGGTAAAGAACTGCACATTATTGTAGTGTGTCACCATGTTTTTTGAGTATTTGTTCCTGTTGGCTTGATCTTCAGGTTCTCTGACTCTTCATCACTGGCAGCAGCTCGCTAAACCTCACCTGGCCACTATTCTAGACCCCCATCCAGGCGTAGTTACCAAAGGCTTCCGCCCTCTCACTCAGGACAATGTTTACCACCTGGCTGACCTCGAAGAGGACGAAGACCAGGAGAAACTACCATGGGAACATAAGAGAAAAGAGGAGGAGCCACGGGATGCAAAGATAAAAGAGGAAGACGAGGAAGGAATCACATTTAACGTGCGCTCATCGTCCACTCCGGAAGAGAAGAGAGAGAGGAGGCGTGTCCAAAGCCCAGCTAATGTCCCGCCCCTTCCTGCATCCCTCAGGAATTCCCCTGTGCCCATAGCAACAGCTGTTTCCTTAGCAGCAGCAGTTACCCTGACAGCCAGCGCTGCTCCTGCAGTTAGTTCTGGAATCTCCGGATCAGCTGCTTCACAGTTTGAGCTGAATCTCGGATCTAAAGGGCCCTCTATAGGTAAACGGCTGTCACTGCAAACAGCATTGCCTGTTTGTTTTCCGGTTTCTGTATGAAATGCCTGTTTGCATGTTTGTTGATCACTTTTTGTTTGTGTTTAGCTATAAATCCTGGGAAATATCAGAGCTCCACTTTTTCCACATACACCTTCACTACCTGCCGGATCCTGCATCCCAGTGACAGCACACAGGTTACAGCCAGGTACAACATCGATCTATTGCTGTCTTACTGAACTGCACTTTTTTACTTTAGTAAGTCAGGAACTGTCAGATTTTAGTATGCAAGTGAGTTTGACACTGATTTTTTTTCATTATAAAGAACTTTTACTTAAAAGTAAAATCAGAAGAACTGATTCAAAAGAGTTCTTCGCTGATGAAGCAGAGTGGTCACCCTGTATGTATGTTGATCTGTGCAACCAGCAAAGGTAACAAAATAGAAAGAAGTGTTGTCTATTTATTTTTAATTGATCATTTATTTATTTTGGCACTTAATCATTAAACTCTATTATATATATATATATTATACACCGCTCAAAAAAATTAAAGGAATACTTTTTAATCAGAGTATAGCATCAAGTCAGTTAAACTCCTGGGATATTGATCTGGTCAGTTAAGTAGCAGAGGGGGTTGTTAATCTGTTTCATCTGCTTTGGTGTTAATGAAATTAACAGCAGGTACACTAGATGGGCAACAATGAGACAACCCCCCATATGGAATTGTTTTACAGGTGGAGGCCACTGACATTTTTTTTCCATACTCATCTTTTCTGACTGTTTTTCACTAGTTTTGCATTTGGCTAGGGTCAGTGTCACTACTGGTAGCATGATACCGATACCTGACCAAACAATCAAAAACCGACTTCATGAGGGTGGCCTGAGGACCCGATGTCCTCTAGTGGGCCCTGTGCTCACTGCCCGGCAATGTGGAGCTCGATTGGCATTTGCCATTGAACACCAGAATTGGCTGGTCCGCCACTGGCACCCTGTGCTTTGATGATAGCAGGTGATAGCAGGTTCACCCTGAGCACATGTGATAGACGTGAAAGGGTCTGCAGAAGCCGTGGAGAATGATATGCTGCCTGTAACATCATTCAGCATGACCGGTTTGGTGGTGGGTCAGTGATGGTCTGGGGAGGCATATCCATGGAGGGACACACAGACCTCTACAGGCTAGACAATGACACCCTGGCTGCCATTAGGTATCGGGATGAAATCCTTGGACCCATTGTCTGACCCTACGCTGGTGCAGTGGGTCCTGGGTTCCTCCTGGTGCACGACAAGGCCTGACCTAAATCCAATAAAACACCTCTGGGACATTATGTTTCGTCCATCCGATGCCGCCAGGTTGCACCTCAGACTGTCCAGGAGCTCAGTGATGCCCTGGTCCAGATCTGGGAGGAAATACCCCATGACACCATCCATTGTTTCATTAGGAGCATGCCCCGACGTTGTCAGGCAAGCATACAAGCACGTGGGGGCCATACAAACTACGGAGTACCATTCTGAGTTGCTACAATGAAATTTCAGCCAAATGAACTAGCCTGCTGCATCATTTTTTTCACTTTTTTTCAATTTTCCATCAAACGATGTGGCATCACCCAGTTCATATCAATATAGATATCCAGCATGATATTTTCCCTATTGCGATCTGATGTTTTCAAAGTGTTCCTTTAATTTTTTTGAGTAGAGTATATACAATATACTATATAATATGCTTTTATATATTCTTATGCTTGGATCTGTTTGATCATAGTACTGTTTTCTTTCTGTTTATCAGCTCTGCCTGCAGTCCTTCTGTGAGTGATAACACCCCGAGTTCTCTCCGGACCGGTCCCAGTACTCCAGTCACACCCTGCAGGTTGAGTCTGGGCGATTCTTTCCCCGTTCGCCGTCCTGCAGCGCCACCTGGTGGTCTCGCCAAGCTCCTGCTGGAGAAAGGCATCTCTGCTCAGGGTCTCGCCGCTGTGCCGGCACCCAAAAAGCCTCTTTCTCTACGTCGTCTTCCCAGCACTCCTCCAAACTCCCCCTCCCACTCCCCATGCCCCTCTCCTGTGCCCTTCGACTCCCGATCCACCTCTTCGGACAACTTCCTAGCATCCCGTCCCGCCGAGCTCTTCCTGCAAGACGTCTACGGGCTGAAACTCGGCCGTGCCCCACGACCGGATCTCCTGACCCCTGATCGATCTCCTCATGGGCCGTCGACCAAACCCGACTGCCACGCCGTCAACCTCGTGGAGCATCTTCGCAAGCTAGGCTTGGATAAAAAAGTTCTCCAAAGGTCAGAAGCCGAAGGCGCCCATCCACAGGAATCTGCCACCTTGCTAGCAACAGGAGGAGGCAGCTTATTGGATGGGCTTCGTCGAAATCAAAGTCTGCCTGCCATGGTTGGCCGCCGTAGCGCATCAGTCTCCAGTCCGTCCTTTCCTGTCCCGCCCCCTCACCCTACTTCCCTGGCCCTTCCAACTCCACCATGGAGGAACCTAAACAAACCGCGCCGCACATGTAGACACGCCTCCCTTTCTCAGGCCCCGCCCTACCTGCATAATTCATAAGGATGTGGGCGTGGTCTCCGACCAACAGGAGTGATTATATATCTATCCCTTGATAAAGAGGCTGAAAGACATTTTTTAAAGCACAAAAATTAAGTTAAAGTGTCTTGTTGCCATGTTTGTTAAAATGAATATTTTTAAAGGCCTTATAGCACTCAAGAGGAAACTACTATTTTTCTCCATCTAAATTTCTTTTTTCCTTTATTGTTCATCTATGTCCCTTTATCCTTGATTTACTTTCTTTAACAAGTCATCGCACTTATTTTCTCTCCATTAACACGTGAGGCTGTGGAGCTGTGAAGTGTTGAATAGATCAGGAAGGGATATGTACGTGTCGAGGGTTGTTGAATGTTGAATCGATGGAAGGAAGTTCAAAGGAATGCTGTAAAGAACTGGAAATCTGAAGGTTTCTGTAGGTTTAAAGTGAATTTACTGTGACTTTGATTCATCCTAGTGAATCATATAAACAAGATTGAGGTGATGAACACGAAGGAGAATGGAATATGGCAAGTGAAATGGATGGTCGCATCTCCACAGCCTCATTTTAGGGGTTTGTCTTGATTCATTCAGCAGTTCCTGTGAGTTCCTCTGTGTAGTTGGTCAGTCCGTCCAGCGTTATAGATGGCTAAAGCCTTTTAGACATTTAGTAGAACATCTACCTGCTATATTGTCTATTTTTGCAACATTACAGGGGCAGGTGGAAGGTCTAAGCAAGCATTTGCGTCCCTCAGCATGCTGGTGTATCTGGACGTAAGCTCCTCTTTTTTTCTTTGCACTGAATTGGTTATTGGGAAGTTTTATCACAAAAGAGCAGATCTGGACTGCTCAGGATATATTTGGGTTCGTACAGGCACTTGTTCTGCTACATGTAACTGGTGTGTTATTTGAAATAATATTCAGGGACTGTGTATTTAAGGGAAATGAGTGATTTGTTCATATGTACACTCAAAAGGCATCACTGCAGATTGTACTTTAAGTTTGGCTTGAAATGGTTCTGCTGCTCAAACCTGATTTTTGCTCCAGGTTTCCATCTTCAATAGAGTAGGATATATTTGATCTATTCTCATTCTATTTGCATTTACACCCCTTTAAATATAAAGCATACAAATTGTATTTTTAGTGATTACAGAAACCTTTCTGAAGTAGCCCTAACGCTGTCAACCACTGTCTTGACACTTTGACCATGACCTTTGACCCCTGAATGAATTCCTTAGTGACACCGATTGTGCTGCTTCCTTGTCGTCTTCACTTATGTCCCTACTTTCCTCATTTTATGCACTTTTATTTTTTAACCCACTAGAATTGTGTTTTTAGTAAATAGGCATTACGTGTGTTATCTAACAGTAAAGTAACACTAGAGTACGTTAATACATCTAACCTGAGAGATAGCTAATATTATTTACCAACCATTCAGCTAGGAATGAGATTTTAATATATTTCATGTTTTTGGTGGAGTTTGAGAAGGGACTCAAGTTTCAAAGACCTTTTTGGGTTTAAACCAAAATGATTTGTCTTTCTTGCCTGAATTGTCATTTTATAAGCTGAAATGGTAAACTGACCTTTTGTGCTTTCTAGTAAATGACAATGACAGCACAGGGAAAACCATCAGTTTGGTTCAGAAACTGTTACAGGAAAGACATTTAATAAGCTTGTGTCAGCTATGCCAAGAACACAATCTAAACTTCAGAATAATACCTGCATCTATACATCACTAGCTTTATCTCTAATCCCAGCGGTGTGGAAGTGTATGGTACTAAACGCATGATTTGATTTCTGTAGCAAAGTGTCCTTATTTACATCCTGCTGTTGATGTCATCAAGCTCTCTGCTGCCATTGAGGTCAAAGGTCAATGCTTGAAGATGATGCCACAAGTCGTGACATCAAGCACCAGGTGATTTCTTTTGTGCTGTTGACATAGTAACCACAGCCTTGGAGTGATTTCCTGTGTTTAGCTGTCAGAACCCTGTATTAGTATCATTATGTTGTGTTTTTTTAATAATAAAACAAACAAATTCATGTCGGTGTTCCTGTAATTTCATCCTGAGGAGTTTGATAACTATACACAGGAGCTAAAAATGTGCTTTTTATTCAAGTTCATTTTACGTTTACAAACATTTTTGGTTTATTATAGTGACAATACAAATAAGTTATTTTGCTTTACATGAATAATTATTTTATGTTAATAATTATTTGCCATAACCATACAATTTGTATTCCTTAAAGGGTGGATAAACATGTCTAGAAGAGAAAAATAAATTACATTTTGCATAAAACAATTAAACCTATCTTCAGAATTAAAGCCACAACTTTTTTTATGTATTGTAACATTATCATTCTTATTACTATAAATAAAATATTTGATTTTTGCAGATTTACAAATCTTGCTGTACTGCCAAAATTAAAATCATAATTGAATAATGAGAATTACAAACAAATGTTGAGCTATAAAAAATGAAAGTGAAAATGTGCTTTAATTTTTAATTATGTACAGTATAATTACATATTTGAATTTAATAATAATTGTAATAATTTATATTAGTAATTATTTGCCATAACCATTCAATCCTGGTCCTAAAAAGGGTAGGAAAAACACATTCAATGAAAAAAAATGACAATTAATTATAATTATATCTCACTTCTCATTACTATAATTTAATATATATATATATATGCATTTTATTTTTGCAGATTAAAAAAAAAAGTCTAGACAGAATGATTAACATGGCTGTATTGCAGAAATGAAAATCATAATTGTATAATTGTACAAAAATGTTTCTAGAAACATTATGGTAATATAAATTTGAAGGGGAAAGTACTGAATCTTTATGAAAAAATCATTTTGGTCTTACCAATAGGCTTAATTTTCTTGCAAAATATAATTCATTCTTTTTTTCTTTTGATTTTGGGGTGAAATATGACCTGCATATTATTTTTGTGAGATTCACTCCGTTCACAAGGGACAGATTTTAATGCTGTCTGACGTGGAGCTGAACTGCCCCATGGCAAAATCCAGCCCCACGCCGACCCCACAGCCCACCCCGAACGCAGCGTACAGCTGTGGTGGGAATGACCCTTGAAAAGCATGGAGAGGAACCAACTCGTCATCCACGCTATAGAAAGTCAGAGTCCCTGCGGTCCTGTCCAGAAACACCCCGACTCGAGGGCTGTAGGTCACAGGGATCTCCACCTTCTTATTGGCGTGCATGGCTGCGCAGCACATGTCTGACAGCTCCAAGCTCCACGATTGGCTGTTATACCCAAGCCCTGCCCCCGTATCCGCCCCTTTGCGGGAAATGGAACCACTGACCACACCCAGAGAGGAGCCACGCCCCCTCCACTCCACCTCCCAGTAGCAGCGGTCGGAGGAGAGGGGCTGGAGACAGAGCACCTGTGTCCAGCCGTCGAAGCGCTGAGGGAGGTCAGGGAACGGCTGAGACGTCTGCTGAAGGGTGGCCACAGTGTCTCCATCAGACAAGACCAGACGCCGATGGGCCGTGTTTGGATCCAGGGTCAAATCACAAGCATCTAATAGAGAGAGAGAGAGACAAACGGATGAGAAAATAAAAAACAGAATGAAACGACAAGATGTGTGAGAAATTAACTCACATTGCAGGAACTCGTCTCTGACTCTGGGCTCTGGGGCCTGAATACTCTCAATGTTAATTTCTCGCACTGTAAAATAAAATAAAATAAAGATTCAGACAAAAGCTATAAGGAAATATAGAAATGTACATCTAAAAAAGAACGCTGTTTTGAAAAATGAACTGGACACATTTTAATAGGACATTAATATTAATCTTCATATGGTGGTGAACAGTTTATTAAATAATTTGTCTGTCTTTATATCTATCTGACTATTTTTCTAACCATCCATCATCCATGTATCTATCCACCAATCCATCTTCTCATCCATACATCTATTCATCCATCCATTCATCCACCATCCAACTTCCCATCCATCTACACATTCATCTATCTATCTATCTATCTATCTATCTATCTATCTATCTATCTATCTATCTATCTATCCACCCATCCATCTTCACATTCATCTATCTATCCATCTATCCATCTATCTATCTATCTATCCATCTACACATTCATCTATCTATCCATCTATCCATCTATCCATCTATCTATCTATCTATCCATCTACACATTCATCTATCTATCCATCTATCCATCTATCTATCTATCTATCCATCTACACATTCATCTATCTATCTATCTATCTATATATCTATCCATCTACACATTCATCCATCTATCTATCTACACATTAATCTATCCACCCATCCATCTACACATTCATTCATCTATCTATCTATCTATCTATCTATCTATCTATCTATCTATCTATCTATCTATCTATCTATCTATCTATCCACCTATCCATCTATCTATCTATCTATCTACACATTCATCTATCTATCCATCTATCCATCTATCTATCCATCTACACATTCATCTATCTATCCACCCATCTATCCATCTATCTATCTATCTATCTATCTATTTATCCACCCATCCATCTACACATTCATCTATCTATCCACCCATCTATCCACCCATCTATCTATCTATCTATCTATCTATCTATCTATCTATCTATCTATCTATCTATCTGTCTATCTGTCTATCTATCTATCTATCTATCTATCTACCCATCCATCTACACATTCATTTATCCATCTATCCATCCACCCATCTATCTATCTATCTATCTATCCACCCATCCATCTACACATTAATCTATCTATCCACCCATCTATCCATCTATCTATCTATCTACCCATCTATCTACCCATCCATCTACACATCCATCCATCCGTCCGTCCGTCCGTCCATCCATCCATGTATCCACCCATCTATACATCCACCCATCCATCCATCCATCCATGTATCTACCCATCTATCCATCCACCCATCCGTCCATCCATCCATATATCTATCCACCCATCTCTTCATCCATTTGTCTTTCATAATATGATGTGTATAGTGCAAAAGATGTTGTTGTAAATGCTGACATGTGGGAAAAGCAGGATTGACGACTGGACTGTCAGTAGGTGAGTCCAGGAACAGCCCAGGATTCACTGTACAGAGAGAAAGACAGACACAGAGTGAAACAATGATCAATCTTTCCCCTACAGGTAATCAGTTTAACTACATTTTAACTAGCTGTAAAGCTACAAACAAACAAAAACATGAATATTACCTTCTGTTGGCTCTCCCCCTACAGAGAGAAGAGAGATACAGTAAATATTAGTTTTTAGATATTTAACAATTACAATGATTTTCAGTTTTTAGAGCTAATCTGACTAAGGCAAATGTGTGGGTTGGTAGTATTTTTTAGTAAAAACAATAATATTGTGAAATATTAAAATATTTTTTTTCTTATTATAATATATTTTATTCCTGTGATGCAAAGCTGAATTACTCCAGTATTCGGTGTCACATGATCCTTCAGAAATCATTCTTATATGCTGATATTTTTTTCAGAATTCTTTGATAATTTGAGAATTCAAAAGAACAGCATTTATTGGAAATATAAATCTTTTGTAACATTACTGTCTTTACTGTCACTTAATCAGTTTAATTGATCAATTTGTTTCATTGAAAAAAATACAGTTTTATTATTTAAACAACATAATTTCTGTTTTCATGACCATTTTCATCCTCTCGTTGTTATTTGTATTTGAATGTATACATTTATAAATTACGTAGATGGCAAACTATATGCATTTCTAAATGTAAATAATTTGATTTAAAATGTATATTTTCAAATAATCCTTGAATCGTCAGTGTACAGTACAGACTTACAGGCACTGGCACGGGAGAGGCTACGAGGTCTCACTGACCCCGCCTCCTGGAGAGTGGGTGTGGCCTCTTTCACTGTGACACATGACATCATGTTTCATGACATAATTGATTTAATACGTAATGATGACTGACCACAAAACATTTTATTCAAAAGGTTTATAAAATCTAAAAATAATGTACACATTTAGCTCTTGCTGTTGGACACATGCTTGAAAACCCAACAAATACAAACAAAAATTCAAAGGACATTTTGAGGTACTTGATAATATATTCTTTGAACCCAGTTCACATGAGCAGGAAATACAGGCGTTTATCTGGATGCTAGACAAACCTGAAAGACTAGTAAAGATTTCTTAACAAGCCTAAGCTTGCTTTCATTGTGTGAGGTTTATGTGAGCATATTTCAGGTACATATTTTGTCCCTAAAAGTTAGTTAGTTGTACATAAAAGCAACAGAAGTTTATCAAAGGTCCTTATTTAGACTGTGTGTTCTTTCGCTCACCTGTGTCCTGTCTCTTCTTCCTGTTTCTAGGTAAGAGAGAGCTCAGACTCCATCTGTCCGCTGATGAAGAACACAATGAGCAAATGTATAAAAACTGGATTAGAAACACAAAGTCTTGATTTGATTGTAGAGTATGTTTGAGCTGCTGTCGCTCACATTGTCTGGCCGGCTGCTGTCTGTCCACAGCGTTTGATCTCTGCTGAGAGGGACTAGACTGGGCTTCTCCATTGACTGTCACCAAGGAAAACAGACACAAACATGATGCAATTCTTAAAAGCATCTGTGTTAAATTTCAATAATGAGACATGAATCAAGCGTCACCTTGTTCTCTGTCCTCTCTCCTCAGTCTCGGTCTGACTGAACTCAAACTCCAGCGGTCCACTGACAATTAAAAGTAAAACAGCTTTAAAACACTGTGTACTTGGTTTAGAAAGAATGCAAAGTGGGGTTCAAGTCGGGGACAATATCTGGAATCTTTCCTTTAAACCAAAATGACAGTGTGCTGGTTAGAATGTGTTTGCATGCGTCGTCTCACCTTGTTCTTCATCCCGTGTGTTTCTGCTCTGTGTGCTTTGACGCCTTTGAGAGGCCTGATTTTCTCTTTCTATACAGAGATCATAGAAAATGACAAATAAATTGACACAAGGATGAATGTCAGGATACATTTGAGTCATGTTTCACCCGAGAAGTAAAT